TAATAAAAAAAAAAACAACAAATCGGTTCTTTTTGTTATATTATTCCTATAATAAGTTGTATGTATATATACTTATATATTTCCCCCCTCTACACTTGGGCTATATTATAGTGTATAAAACATATAATATAATAATGTACTATTGTCGGCACGGCACACACGACACGCGGTACTTATAATACGAGTGTCGAAGATAATCATGCAAAAGTACCTATCTAATACATATTATATACATATAATATCATGTACGCGAATGTCATTAAACCCTTAATCTGCCGCCGCTGTTGAGCTATATAGGTGTGCACACGCGCATTTTTCAACGTGTGAGTGTCTGTCCAGCCCAGAATAAGTTTTAATGGAGAAGGAGGCACATCGATAATGATTTATACTTATATATATATATATATATTATTATGTCAGGAAGGTTTTCCGACCAACAATCATAATACCATGACCGATCGCAAATGAGCAAATTGCGGAAGTCGGCGGAAAAATGTAAAGAAACAAAACAAAAAAAACCCTAAGCGATCGCTCTTTCGGTAAATGCCTTACTGTAGACCTCGGCCGTGCATATATTATACGATTATACAAACACTGATCCCCGACTCAATGTCAGTCTTCTGTTGTATTACCGCACGACGGCCGTGTGTGAAACAAAGCATGTTATAAAAAAACACATCAAAATTTAAATCGCGATCGAGTTTTAGGAATTTCTATAATTTGGAGTTTCATCACTGTGGATCTGCCACCAGACTTTAACGGTTACGCAAATTATAACTATACGGTCTTAGGTGTTTACCTATTACACTTTAGGTAAATGGGTATTCATCAAGAACCTGTTTGTTGCTCTTTATGAGTCTTACGGCTCAAAAGAAATGTATAAAAAAATGGTTTCAATATTGTAAATGACAATATTTTAGTAACATTTCTTACGGTTTGTGTTATAAAATATATTATTTTAATGAAAAACGAATGGTTATATAAAACGTAGGTGCTCAAAAATATTGCAACTGCACTGGCTCCCTATATATCATAATAATGATATTATCATAGACATCCTGGGGTTATACCTTGGATCGTGATTGAGTTTTTTTTTTAGTCTTCGTGCCAACACGATAATATAGTATAATTATTATTGTGAGTGGCGACGATGGCGCTAGGGGTTTTAAGAATAACCATACCGGGCATGAAATCAGTACGGCCGCGGCGGCGCGTATGTATAATAAATTATTGTAATTATCGTTTGCCGCCGTTGTCGTAAAATATGTGCACCAAATATTCATAGAACATCAGTATTTAAAAGACAAACGAAATGGCTGGCATGGCATCCTATAGGCTATAGCCGCCGAACAATCAACGAGACGTCAGGTATTGTGAAGGAAATTAAAATTATTCTTATCGATTGCATTTCCACTGTTAAATAAAACCGGTAGTCACTGTTTCTTCAAAGAAACGGTTTTTTTTTTGTCTTTTGTACGCACAAAAACGAATTGTAGCCGTTAAAGATTTCGTGGGTGTTTGACATAATCAAACAATTTAAAACGCAATCAACGTTAATGACAAGGTCGTGTAACAAGTGCGTTTACACACACACACATGAGCGCCGGTAAGGGCAGAGGGGTCGCGGGGCATGACATGTGGTGAAACCGTTGCGGAGGGCGGCAGATGCCTCTCAACCGTCAACGGACGCGAAACACTTCCACCCACCCACCGTAAAAAAAAATACCACAGTATACAAGTATAATGTAAAAAAAAACACACAATTTTCATTATCTTCGACCATTGTTCTTACAAGGAAGCACGCTTCTTCCTTCGAGACGGCCAGTAAAAAGTCCGTTAAAAATAATTACAAGCGCTCAACGGTTTTCGGGACGGTTGTGTACGCTGTGCATTTTCTTGATCGGCCGCCGCATTATTCCCACACCTTGGCGGTATAATAATAATGCAGCAGATACGTTAAAAATAAAATACCCATATCAGTTGTCCGGTTATAGATAGCACTCAGAGAGACACAGCTGTTCCAGAACAGTCGGCCGTTATCACTCAACACGATAAAAATTAAAAATCCTCTCTGTGAGAATCGACCACAAATCTGAACGTAATGTTTTACCGGCTCGGACTGGTGAAACTTTGTACAATGGAGAAATAAATTTCGAAAAAAAACTGCGGGTGCTTTTAGTTACTGTTAAAAGATTGCTCCGGATGAAAATTTATTGCGAGTGAAGTTGAATGAAAGCATATACTCGTACGTACTGTACCCTTGAACACGACGCGGCGCTGTGTATACATGTATAGGTGGTATACCTATATGTGTTTGTGTATGGGAGTAGAGTTTTGTCAGTGTACGAGACAGAACAAAAACGGTAAAGCTATAAAACGGATTTACGATTGGCGAGCAAAAAAACTGTATCGTATACTACGGTCATCGGCCTAAAAACTATTTTTGTGGATTTCGTTTGGCGAACTGCAGCTGTATTATTATAGGTTTTTATTTATTAATTATTTAACTCCAAAACTACACATTCGTATAGTACAACGTTGTCGAGGTCGGACCAACGTGCGACGCCGGTAGAAATAATAAATAAACTATAAAGTTTAACGGCAATGTTGGTTTTGCGAAATGTCTCGGTCGTATAATATTGTTATGACAGCGCCGGTATGTTTGTTTTCCTCTCATTAGCCCGGCAATCGCGTCTTCGCTCTAGGCGTAACAGTCGTTCGTACCTTTATAAATTATTATTATTGTTGTATTTTAGTGCAGGCGCGTTTAGGTACGAACACGACCCGATCGTCTTGGACGAACCGTTTGTACACGCGGGGTATACCTAGTGTACTATAGCTTTGGCCGAAGAGAAAAAAAAACAGTGCTTCGGTGACACGGTAAAACAATGCCTATACCTAAGCATTGGAACCGAGGCGATCCGGATTTAATAACTGGTCCATGCTAATACTACCTATCCTATACACTAGTGTCCGATCGTGATGATGAATATTTAAAACGTTCGGCTCTCTATCTCTATTTTTCTAAATTCCCCTCTCTTTCTTTCTCTCTCTCGCACACAAACACACTCTTTGTACTTACATTCGTCGTTTAATCAATCCGGACAACGGCAGCAGCGGCCCTCAATGAGCGCTAGGCGGCGAATCGCCGGCACGATCTCATGAATAATTCACCTGTGGGCTGTGGCCGCAGATCCGAGCTTTAGCATACTATGTATGCTAATTCCTCTACCGTATACGACTACCGTGCGTCCGCAACAATAATAATAACGGCCGTTGTAAACATACCAGCGTTCAATTAATGTATATGTTTTGTGTATCGTATACAACCAATAAGCCACCATTCGCCGTCGCCGCATTCTGAAGTCGGTGAACGCGGGGTTATCGTCGGTTTACAAAATACCAATAAATATTTTACAAAAAAATCACACAAGCAGTGCCGCTCTTGGGGTCAACCCGTACTTAGTGGCTCGTGTAACGTGTTGCTAGGTACAAATTGTTAGTCGCACACGTGCGTTTTTTTTATGTAGTACATCCAATAGTATTATACGTTAGACGAAGCGTCGTGGAAAGCCTTAGAGTTAGACTCCTTATCTCAACATGACACTTATACTCCTTACTCAATAATTCTATTTATTACTATTAGTAATGTAGTCGATCGTAAAAAAATGGACTATATTATGACTTATAAGTTATCGAATACCGTCTAAAAATCTAAAGTAGACAAAATAAGTTCGATCGAAGAACATTTGATGTATATTTGTCAATTCCAATATCTCCACATCAAATAGTTTAAAGTTAAAACTAAAAATAAATAGTTGTAAGCACTTTAAGGAAACGGAAAGAGTCAAATGTATCCTAATGTTCTAAAGGTCTAGATTTTAATTTGTGAATTTTTTCTCCCTATTTAAATGGGATTAATCACTATAATGAACCGAATGTGATGCATTAAAACGAACGACCACTGTGCAGTCTGGCGTCTCGCTGCACGCATCAGATTATGGGACTATTATTGTTGTTATAATATGCTGTTGCCTTGTGGTCGCTATCGTTTTGCGGCGGCGTCAACGTGAAAGTGAAAATACTACAATATTATTATGATATCCACTAGGATTTTTATTGACGTGCCTCTCTTCGGGGCCACCCCATCGTCGTTGTCCATAACAATTATTACCGTTACAGCCGGTCCGCGTACAATAATATCACGTGTACTACAACGACTGTTAAGAATTTACAATCGCGGGTCGTTATCGTAAAGTGGCGATCGCGCACGAAGATCAAGAAAGAGTGAGAGAGAGAGAGGGTGGGCGAGTGAACGAGGCAGAGAGTTATAAACAGACGGGAGCACGCGCGCCGTACAAAAGGGAAGACGAGCACCTGTTCAACCTGGGCAACGGTCAACCCATATGTTACTTCTGGTTGCAAATTAATCAGGTCGTCGCCGTGTCATCATGATGATATTTTTACCATACTATAACCAAGTATAACCCATGGCGACGATGCCCGCGCGTACACGATATTTCCATTATATCAACCGTTTTTTTTTTTGTTTTTTGCCATGTACATAATAATGGTATCACTACACACCGTAATGTACCTACCGTAAATATTCCACGGGCGTAATAATAATAATAACAATAATAATAATAAAATAGCCGTGTAGCATTATAGCGCGTGCCTCCCCCTCCTCGTCCTACTCCTCCGACTCGTTTTCTTTTGGCCGACAATGCCGTGGGTCGTGATCCGGCGTACACGGGCGACTTACCGGTCTCAAAAGAGATTTCGATCGGATTACATATTTATGTTTAAATATATATATATATGTGTGTAGATTGGAATTGTCTTTGGATCGGAAACGCAAAACCCGACTTACATATTATACCCGTTGTACACGTAAGTCGCCCCTCTCCCCCCCCCCTTCGCACCGTATCCCTGGTTGTTATTACATTTACTTTTTAATAATATCCTATAATATTATATTGGGTTGCACGAAGACTCACCTTCCTGTGAGAACCCGTTGACACTGCTACTGCTGCTGATGTTTCCGGATCCCACTGAAACAAAAACGATTCCAAAAGAAGTCAAAGTTTCTATAAAACGCGGTTCGTCGGGGATCGTTCGTCGCGTGCGTTTTTCGGTGTTTACCCGTTATTAGTCCGGCTTGAACACTGTGTTGGGTATTCAAATACGACCGCCGCACGATAGACCAACGACTCGGACTTAACCATTTTAAAGATTGATATTTAAAAATAATTGAGCAGACAGATCAAAAATCAAAATGTTTCAGCGTTTTGTATTTTGGTCCGTCTTACTTTTCTTTTTACCATCGTCGTGGTGCATCTGCTGTTGCGTTTGATGCATCAATCCTTGCGAGTGCATCTGATGTTGTGGCATGTTGTGAGGGTGCAACGAGCCTCCATGGTGCCCCAGACCAAGTTCCATTCCAATCATAACCCTTTTCACGGTGTCATTCACCTTGCCTGCAAGATAAATTTAGCAAAAATTAAATCAAGTCGTGTATACTATTCATTTAATTACTAATAATAGCCTAACCTAATCTCGCAGTAAGTGTTTTGATCGAGTAACATTATATCGTTAAAATGCAACTATTCGAAATAAGCTGTGGTCAAAATGTGTGTTTTACTCTTAAGTTCGAAAAGTTATATCTACAATAGGCATACATATATATACATATTATGACGTGTTAATCGCGTTAAAACCCCATTCGCTGATCAGAAGTACATTTGCTACGGCTTCTGTTCATAGATCGCAAGTCAGTCAACATGAATCTAAATTTTGCCATGTCACCGTTATTACTACAACCATCAATCAACAGTATAATATGCTATACCCGGGTGGCCTACACTCGTCGTGCCCGAGGACAGTTTACAGGTCGGCTAGCTCTTCCCGGCCAATGTGCTCCTCGTTGGCAGCGGTTAGCAAACTCGGTATTAATATTATGTTTGTTGTACATATAGGCTTAAGCACCCTATTTTCTGATCGTATAGTCTCGGTATACTTGAAGGCCGTTCTCTTTTACAGCCCGATTGAAAAAAAACAATTATACTGAGCTTGTGATTCTAAATACATTAAAACTTTAAATTAGTGCTATCTACATTTATTTTTATTTCAACAAAATCTCTCACTAGAAAACTAATATAATATGTAGGTATTTTGAAAAGCACTAATTTTAAGTTTTAAGGTTTTTAGTATCCCCCCTCCCCCCGATATCCGCCAATGGTTGTGTGTCGTTACTGCATCAGCACTAGCAACACGGGCATCACGTTTATTATTATACAGCAATAGGATCCACGTGTACTTTAAGTGTTTTAGTCGCGGTACACATATGCTCACCGGTAGTACACGACGTCACACCCTGTTCGCTAGTAGGTACACGATGAAAAGTTTTTTTTTCCCATTTATATTTATATAGATAGATATTTAACGTAATATATGTAAATGCTGCGAGTCGTGCCGGAGGGTTAAGTGCACACCGTGGTGGGATGAGAAAACTAAAATGTGTGAAAATTGAAGCTCGTGATGACGACCGAGCTGTGTTGTTTTATATAGACCTTCTTATGGCGGTCAACCGATACACACAACGCCGGGGTGTCATCTGGGCACAGTGCTGCGTGCGTACAGGTATAAAATATAAATCTCGATCACGCGGGTCCGGTCAGGATCGTGGCTTGATATTATTATTCTCAGTACACACACACACATACGTATATAATCGGATGCGCCGAGTTGTCTACCGGCGTCTGACGATAACACACGAAACCCTTTGCATGAGAACAAAAAACAAAACACAAGATGAGAAAAAAAAAACTATGGAAACGAGCGAAAACAATCTATGTAATATATTTTTATTCCTATAAATAAATACTCTGTTCCTCAGGACTCCGTTATATTATATGCTCACGTGTGTCATCGTGCACGACATCGATGTGACAACCCGACGGTGCACCGGCGACCTCTCAATATAATAATGTAACATTATAGATAACCGCTGAGTCCCATTCATCAAGTCATCAAGTCACGTTGTTCTTCTCGCGCGGTCGTGTCCTGTGCGATTTGACGCGATATCGATTTTTTTGTATGTACTTTTCTAAACTTACCGAGTGCAGTACACCATACCGCGTGACCGATTGGGAACACACAATATGAGCGGTTTGGTTAGTATGTTTACATTATAACCCTTAAATCGTCAAAATATCCTCTCCACTTCCCGTGTCGACAAGCGCGATTTGCAACAGCAAAAATCAATCAACGGTTATCCTAAGCCGCTTGCTGTTCCAAAACCCCTATACTTTGTTTCTGTTGTCGGCACATTATAATAATTTTATTTTTATATCGTTATTTATTTGGCATTTCGTTCACGTGCCTTACAAATCTGCACGTTTTTCTTGGCCGGAACTATGCACATATAAATGCGTCGGTGGGACCGTGCGCTCTGGATACGATAGCCGGCCGGTGCGATAATATTATGTGTGTAGTGTATATATGTGTATGTAATAAGAGAGTATATTATAAAGAAGGAAGACCATACCGCGGCGGCCATCGAGATAAGAGACGTTGACGTGCAAGAATAATAACTCCGGCGGCGTTTGATTCGAGCGCGAGATGAATCGCAATAGCGTTCAGGACTTGTTCGCTTTAACCGGCGAGCCTTTCTCAAATTCAATACCGATCTACGCAATAGAAGTATAATAATTTTTACCCGAAAAAACAAACAATAACAAAAATAACGCTTCTATTACAGTTACTTAGCGAGTGTCCAAGTGTCCAACCCGTTTTTATGACAGCTTTTTGATCGATCTACAGGCTACAGACAGCGGTTATGGGTTGGGATAGGTTAAAGCTTGTACCGGTGACCTACTTTCGTGCGACACTTGTTTTTAAGGCGAAAAAGTTGTATTATGTTAGTAGACAATTGAAAATTCATTGGATTTACACAAGGCGACATCCAGCGCTGCCGAGTGCAAGAGTGCTGCAAAACCATAAAAGACTTTCCGTAATGTTTGCCTCGACTTGTGTGTGTGTGTATGTGCTTATACATAGCTTCGTTGTTGACTTAGCGCGTGTCCACGGCTCCGTGACCATAACTCTTTGGCGTATGCTGCGCACACTCTCACGTACACACATTATAGACACTTCTCACTGGTCGTACATAAATACGTTATTACACGCCAAAGAGTTTGTCGCCACCGCCACCGACGCTATGACAAACGTATAATATAATATCATATAGGTACAGGTAATGGTACACCACACCATCCGACTATAACGGCCGTGTGGTACGCCGTTTTGTATTTTTTCTTCTTTCGTACTCACGTGACGCCGGACGCGTGTATATATGTATATAGAGATTATTATTATAGTACATAATATTATATGCGGTGTGGGCAACTCGGTATTGCGTTACAGCAGCAGCGCCGGCATCAGTGCTTTTAAAACGAAGGTGAGTGTGTGTATATGTGTAAACGCGTGTTAAAGTCTGCTCGGAAGTTTTGTACCCATAATTATATGTATAATGTATATACTATATATATATATATATATATATACATACTATAATGAAGGTAAAGAAGGACTGAATCGATTGTCAACGTCATTGGTTTTGAGTGGAAAAAAAACACAATCCATTCTAGGTACTTTCTCGTGAATATTGTTTGTATTTGGTTAACACAAGACATTTTAATTTTTCATTTAAGAAATTCTAACTCGAAAACTAATCAAAATGTTCGCAATTTAAAAAAGTTCCTAAAACTCTAAGTATGATACTTTGTTATTACGCAATATAAAAAAAAAGGACTTTCAAGTATTATATTTTTGCTTTAAGATTCTTTTTACTGTTTACTCATTTATTGTTGCGCGTATTTGTATAGATGTAAATATTCAATATAATAAAAAAAGCTTTAAGAATCTTCATTAATTTTGTAAACATTTTAATTAGTTTTCAAGCTGAATATTTTTTTAAATAAAAAATGTAAATTCCCTATGTTTGTCAAATGCAAAAAAAATTCATGAGGTAGTACTTAGAGTTAAGGTAGGGGCCTGAAATTTTAGGAATTTCTTATTTGATTAGGCTACTATCGATTTAAAGGGGTAATCGTAAACAATTTTTTTTAAAAGAATAGCCTACTCTATTATATTGTCTATTGTCACTCTATTCTAGAGTATCTACTGACTATTATCTGCACTGAGTGTATATTGATAAGCTTTTTGTCGGGTCTGAAGTCTTGCTCCTGATGCAAGGATTGTGTGCTATTAGATCGAAGGAGCTAAACATAATATTGTTGTCTTTTCAGTTATAAGTTATAAGTCAAATTTGAACACGTTTTAATCTAATATAAACTAGTCTAGTTACTAACTAATAGTTACCAGTCCAAGTATTCTTGTTAAATTCTTGTTTTTAAAAAACTATTGTTGTAGTTCTAAAAAATTCAAATTTAGATTCATATGGTGATTATTGCTGAACTTCACTGTATTCGCCACAATAAAACTTATCATTGGGATAGTAAATCCAACGTGTATACTAAAATAAATTTTCGAAACGTTTTCTTTATAAATTATTTTTTTTAGTTTTCACTTTACTTGTTGAATAATTTTTTAAAAATTATTTATAGCTGAGAAGAGCACATAATATATTATATTTGTCTACAACGTTTATTATTACGATTGTTTTTTTTTTTATTGTACTTTACAAACAAACAAAAACTACCCTTCTTGTTAGATAATAACATCGTTTTGCTACTTTTTAGGATACTATGTCCCAAAAGGGTTGCGGCGTTGGAGATAATTACGGCTATTGTACTTTGACGAGTTCTTACGTAGGCGTGTGTCTGCAGGCTGACGGCTATTGAGTAGAGAAAAAAATTAAAATTAAAAGTGAAGACGAATAAAAAAAAAAACTCCGTGCTGTAACGATTGGAGACGTCACATCGCCTAAAATCGGCATTATTATATTTACTACCTATATTATTTTGAGACAGTTCCTTGGGTAAACGGTTGGCAACAAAATGGCGGTATTGGAGTAATAATATCGATTAAAAAAATATTTTAGTTACGAATGACCGGAAAAAAAGAACCGCCTGTTACGCAATTAATTGGATTTTCCATCTAGGACGGGTTTCCACTAGGAAAATTTAATCTACCCACTTTCTCTTGAGGTTTTTTTTCGCCATTTCCGTCTCTTATATTTTTTATCGTAATTTTTTTTTTCAATTGCCCGGTTGCGGGTTTCCATACGGTTTTTTCTCTACTCCCATAATAATTCGGAATTTTCCTATTTATATTATTATTTTTAACAATGTAATAAGTAAAATAAAAAATGTATTTATTCACACTGAAATAATATGTAACTGATACAAAAGCAAGCCTCGTGTCGCGGAATTGTTTTACCACGAAGGTACAACGTTGTGATATTTTCGAGTGGCTGAAAGCAGTTATATAGGTTGTGTTTTGTATATTTTAATGTATAAAAGTCTTATATTGTTTTTTTTTTTTAGATTACCGTTTAAGTTGTAGGGCTATTTTTTAAACGAAAACGTCTACGCTAGAATTTTATTAGTTATTTTTATACATATACCTAGCGACCCCAGACTTTAATCGACCTGGATATCATGAGCAGTTCAACCTAAAAAACTGTACACCGGTATATCAAATACCAGGTTTAGGCATATTAGTGTTCGCTGTTCGGGTGTGAGGCTCATTCAACAGTAGCGGGCGGGAAATCGTTCTAAATAGTTATATTATTATCGTCACGCGTTTTGTCCTTGATGAAGTCGGTGGTGTATGCGAGCGGCTATGCTAAACCAACGACAATGTCAGACATCACGAGCCGTCACACACATAAGCAGCTGGTGCACCGGTGTCCGCGTGGCATCGCGGTTACTGATAACAACGATGGGCCCAAAAGGGTTGACATGCAATGTCAATGACACGAGACGGCCACAATAGGCAAAAGTCAAGGATTTTTTTGTTTGTCCGATCTAATCGTCCGCCGGCCATAGTAATACATTAAAAAAAAATAAATAAATAACAAGTAATTACTTGGTAAACCGCACATTTTGTTAATGTGATGTCATTTTGTCTGTTTTATTTGGCTACGGAAATAGACAGCTGCTGTTCGATTTAAATTTTAACCGGTATAAGTCCTCTTAAAATATACATTTAATACTTTATCCGAAACAAAAAAATAATATTAGTTGTATTATTAAAGTACTATGTTCGTGTACTTTTGTTCAACTTCTTTAAACATATTAAAAATAACAAAATGTAAAAAGTCATTTTAATACCAAGTTACTTAATAACCAACATTTTGTCATCCGAACGTTTCGGAAAAAGTACCAAGTAGGAGAATTTTGTTTTTAACTTCGATGCGGAGCCGAGAAAGTGTTGATTTATAATTATGTGTTATTATTAAATTGTTTTGTATCTAGATCCACAATGTATCCGAAATCATTGAACAGATTCCTTTATGTTTCAAGTGTATAAAATAGAAAACGTCCCTAAAAGATAATTACTTGGGCCAAAAGTAATAAGCCCCTTTTTCAAAAAGTATTCATATTTTTCAACATAAATTTTTGATACGCTATAACATTTTTTAAAAATGGTCAAATAATTCCAAATTTGTATAAATTATAATTTAGATATAGTAATATTAATGTTCATTGACAAACTGAAAAATATAAAGAACCAAATTTTCCTAGTTGTCTAGTTAATAATTGACCAATTTATTAGGCACCCCTATCAATGTATACTGTGCATGCTTGTTTGTTATGTAAATATTTAAATAAATTTCTACCTAAATATCAAATAATATATGTAACAGAATGTATACATGAATAATATGTACAGATAACATTCATCGTAAACTATCAAGCTTTCTAAATTGATTTTGAACACCTTTAGAATTTGAATAACTGCGAGAATCGAATGTATTAAAAATTCATTATTATTATAAATTCTAATAATGCTTTTTATCATAATATCTTGTTGAATTTGACATTGACGCTTAAGTTTATTAGACACGCTATATAATTTTCAAAATTATCTACCTATAAAATAATTATTATTATCACATGTATATTTTTTTGAAGGAAGTATAATTATTGTAATAAAGATACCAATGTGGATTTTTATTTTATATAAGTAGACCGGTCGATTATTTTTTTAAATTGTAGATTAATGTTTCAAACTGTATGCTTTGTTAGTAAACTCCAATTTTTTATTTTTAAATTATTCTTGTGGTTTTAATTGTAAAATTAATTATGTTAATATATTATAATACAAAAGTTATTTAAATAATAATAATTAAATATATCTATTTAAATTAAGTTAGGATGTAAATAATCTTAAAAAATTGGCTTTTATAAAAAGAACCTACCTATTTATAAAGTCGTACATTTTTTTAACACATTTTACATGTACTAAATTGTCTATATTGATAGAAAACTATAAGACGAAGTTCAAAAATATAAGAATTCATAAAACTGTTCTTAAAACATTTATTGATGTGACAACTTTTTAAAATCTTGATACTATATTAATACTTATTTTACTTTTAAAAATAGGTAGGTAAGTATTCTTTTAAAATATCTACTTTTAAGACCAATAGCAAATAACAAATTTAAACAAATTATCAAAATAAAAAAACTGTAAACATTTTCGAAATTGGAGTGGTGAATTCGACACATTTTTATAATACAAATTAAAAACAGTAGATTTGTTTTCGAAAATATAGTCAATAATTAGTAAGAGATGAAAATTTGCTAATAATGTTTATCCAAATTTTGTTATTTTATTACCTTTTTTAAATGTACTTTACGACTGAAAACTAGTTGGATACTTATATTACTATACTATATGCTATGTATTTTAATGTTTCGTGTAGATTTGTTTGTCAACTCACTAAGTATATAGTTGGTGGTATTTGTTTCAGAACAATGTTTTAACTACATAAGTAGTTATTAGACAACTCTCGAAATTATTTATTATGTTTAAAATGCTATTCGGGTAACTTGTACAGTGATTTTACACAATTATTATATATATATATACAACTTTGTAAATAGACCGAATCAAGCGAATATCAGTTTGAGTTCTTTGTTTAGTGTTATAAAAATATAATAGAAAAAAATTAAAATAATATATTGGTGTCTAAAGGCGAGGTCACATGTGCAATAATTTTACTGAATGCAGATTTTCATCAAAATTCTAGGAAAAAGAAGATAAGTATCGTTTTCGAGTTACAATTACTAAGCGTTATTTTTCATGTAGATTCTCAGAAACGAATTAGGAAAATGACCTATCCTGCCGTATTATAATATTTTTTTATCGTTCCGTATACGTACCGATCAGAATAATGATACTATACTGCATATACATTTGCTATTTTTACCCTGTCCCGACTTTTATTATTATACAAATACAGTGCATATAGAAGCTATCGTATAGTATATATCAAAATAATTACTATAATTAACATAATACAGAAAAATATTACTAATGTCAATTCGGTTTTAAGATTTTATTTTTTTGTTATTATATCAACAATTTTTTTTCTTTAACTACCCATTGAGCGTACCGGTGTCGTGTCCAAGTCATTACAATGCAAACGACCGTGGGATTTATTTTCTGAAGAGAAAAACATCACTTGTTGGTGCAATTAATGTTTATGTATATGTATTAGGTTGGATAAAAATACCTCCTAATTTTTCAGATTTTAAAAGAATTTTTAGAGGTTGCTATAATAGTGCTTGGAATATTCATTTTTTTTAAATCATCCGTAAGGTCATAATGTTTTTTTCAATTTTAAGTATATTTTATTTATTAAGTAAAGTCTACTTAAGCGGGATTGACGGTCAAGGATTTTTGTACAACTGGGTTTAAAGTTATATGAAAAAAAATACACACTTTCGGCACAAGATTGTCATCATTTTTTTTAACTTATGATAAAAATTTTCTGTAGAGTTATTTTTTTTAGGTGGAATTTCATGTTAGATATTTTTCATATAGTATCTAAACTCTTATATTCGTTGAACTGTTGGCGAAATGAATGTGTTTTTTTTTGTCTGGGTACCAATTAATTTTTAAAATATTTTATAAGAGAGCAAAATTAATAATAAATCCTTATAGAAATATGCATTTTTTTTTTTTTAAATATAATTTTTTTTTTTTAACAAATGAAACAAAAATCATAAAAAAACTAGATTTAGAAAAAAATATGTATACACTCAGTATATTTTTTGATTCTCATCGCTGGAGTTAATAACCGCATTTTCCATAAACTTTAGATTCCAGCGTTCAAGTCTCCGCGCAGAGGTTTTTCTCGTCAAACGTCTCCTACAAACGCGGTGGTTTACCAACACTTTGACTTATAAACTAACTAAACACTTATAGTATAATAATATTATTTTCTTTTAGTTGCACTTACCGAAACCCGTTGGTGAAGTACTCCGTTGGCTCGATGTTGGCCGAGCTGCCTGTGGGATTTAAAAAAACTAACACTATATTATCTTAATTTTTTTGGCTTTTTCAAAGTCGCCAACAATATCGGATCCGCACAAAACGATTTCAAATTGCCGCGAGTAGTCAACGGCGGCGGCGGTCGCGGACACGGAAAATCGGATGACAACTATTATAGATAATATATTTTAAAATTATCGTTGGCGATGCGATTCAAGAACTACCGAACCCGATCGAAACGATTGTAAATATTATTATTATTACTATTAATTATGATAATAATTGTGGATGAATGCGTGTCGGTCAAAGGGGTGTGGGCGTCGCGAGCGGACCGTTCACGGGTGGTCGATGAAAAGCACTCGGCGGAAAAAAAGCGCGCGCATATACACACACACACACACATACAGGGCGCCGCAGATCTATAGACTATCTATGGTCTACCGATGGTGCGTCACGACCGTCGTCCGCCACTAGGCATACTAGGCACTGGCACTATACTACTACTAGGTATGGTCCACTGGCAAACCAAACGCTCGGAACACCGGCGCCCCCGCCGCCGCCGCGGCCGCAGCCGAGCGGCGCACGCCATTGGCCCGTTACCGGAGACGCCCGCCGCCGCCGCGGCAACAGGTGCCCCGTACACACCTATTGGAAACGTTGTACTGTCGTAACCCGTTGACTATAATATAAGGTAGTCTACGCTGCATATGTATATATACATAATAATAACTATATAGGTAACTATATATATATATATTATGATAATAATATACAACTACAACATATACCTGTAGCAGCGGCTACCTGTGCGCGCGGATCGTTCACCGCGGCCGGGGGAAGGGAGCGCAAAGCGTGCGTGCGGCGCGCATACACGTACCTACTGTCCGATGCGTCCTAACAATGATCTGTAATTAAAAAACAACAAAATAATTACACAATATTAACATAAGCGATTTTGTACTTGTGAAAAACCAGTCCATAGTACCTAACTATTTTTTTGTCGAATATCTGTATAAATTAAGACGTGGGAGTTCTTAGTCAACACATTTCTACAATATGCGTTAAAACTTAATGCAGCAGGAAAATATAGCTACTTGGCAAAACTGGGATAAATATACTAAAAAGCCAGCCAAATGGGCTGGATCACAACTGGGAGATAATAGGTATTTAGAAACTATAATAGGTATAACTAAAAGTGATAAATTTACTTCCAAGTAAACGCCTCAATGCACAGAAAAACGATTATATTGCACTATAGAGGAGTAGCGTGCCATATTATTATTAAGATGAAAATACATATTTTTAAGTGGTTTAACTCGATTTTCAATAGAACAACTGAACTTTCTCAACTTTTAGCCTAATGAAGAACCTTTCGGGTATGATTTTTTGATTTTAGACTTTACATGAAAAAATTCACCAACTTGTAAATAATTAATGGTGTGGCCAGACATACAAAAAAAAAAAATAATTTCTCGGCAATGAATCAATTAACATATCATCAATATATGTTTGAAACTATATTTTTTGGTCGACTGTTATGACCTCGAATAAAGCGAGGGTCAACGGCCACCGAATGTTGGCCAATCATTTTCTCGTTGCCGTTGCTTCGCTCAGATAAACCAAAAGTTCTATATTTGCAGGCTAGTCAAAAAAGATATCGTAGGTTTAAGAAAAAGGTCGATTCCGAGTTTATCGATTTAAGATTTGTTGGCTCCAATTTTGTCGATACCTCAACAAGTATGATCGTTTCCGAAAAAGTATTTTTTTAAATAATGGTTTCATACATTGGTTTTTCAAAGAATTTTTGGCACATCCCTAAAATATCTTAAAATTACTTTTTTTTATTTATGAGATGAAAATTAAAAAAATATTATTTTAAAATAATACACAATTATTATTTTGTTATATAAATTTAATCTAAGCCGCTTTCGATAACAATTTTAGATAAAAAGTTTATAAAGGTATTTTATAAACTGGGTTTGGGTTATATGAATAAATTAATATATTGATTAAGATTTATTTGTGTTGGCGGGAAAAATAACGCAGCACATTACTGTTATTATTTGCACATTCTCTCCAGTATGTACTTCAATATACCTTAAAAATAATTGCTCAAAATTGGTTATTGACCAGTAATTTTTTAAAGTGATGATTCTTGATTTATTATGTACTCGAAATATATTGCCATTTAAATTTCAAAAATGGATTAAGTATACAATAAATAAGTAAAAGTGTTAAATTTGTTCAAATATAGTTACACAAAATATATTAAAAAACTACAAATATGAAATCTCAATTACTTTTAGAGAAAATGAGTGGTTTATACAATATAATGAATTATCAACCAGGATGTATTTTGTGTACCTACACATAACATTATTGCATGGTATAAGTTTTAATAACCACGTAATAAGTTTTTATATACAATGTTAGTGTCGTTAATAGTATTCTTGAATAAAGAATAAGAGCCGGTAAGAAATTTTTGGAAATATCTAATCAAAAAGCTTTTTTAGAAATTTAATAATTTTCAGTGAGTAAATTATTGAAATAAGTAATTATTAAAATACTGTTCAACATATTCTGCGTACCTAAATAATAAATACTATTGTTGTTGACTGTACTTGTCACAATTAAAAAAATATTGTAGGTACCATCAACTATTAATTGTATTTGTAATTATTTTTAAAAATTTTAATTTAATTACAATATAACTCGAATTTTAGTCTTAAGCTATACAGTCAGTATAACAGGTAATTGATATATTGTATTTCAGTTATTCCAATATATTTAATATATATGTTGATTGTTGGTGTATTTAGTCACTGCGGTGCGTGTTACACACAAATATAGCTATATAGAGTCGGCGTTGATTTATATTTTGTTTTCGATTTATAGCCATTTGAATAATAATTACACTTTTTCCATTTTCAACTATAATAATTCCTGTAGACCTATCACCTCCACGGACCCCGTCTCCTCTATGACCCTAACATAACTATTATAATTACAGCTAAAATGTTACATGAATGTTTATATTTTTAATAACGTTTTTATAGCTTTTATTTATCCCTACTCTCTTTTAAAGAATATGTTTACACTATTGGGTAAAAAGAACGCCTCGTCAGACCGTAATATATTCCTTGATTTCTCGTTTTTTTTTCTTTTTGTATAGTATTACGATGTTATTAAAATACTGTAAAGAAAACGTCTTGTTTCAGAGCCTTAAGCGTTTTCCACTTGAATACCCCGCAAGTGGTGTTCGGTATATATTGACTGACACGCAACTATCTAGTTAACAGACACTGTTTGCTATTAATGCGATCACCATATCACATCGATTACGCCGGTGGGTAAGTTTGCTAAGCAATTAATATTATCCATGAGGGTATATTGGTGGTCCGGAAGCAAAGGTCATTATGCTTTGTGCATATTATTATATACTATTACATCGATAAGAACTAAACAGAGTAGATCAAATTTAAATTATGGTAACTGGAAATCAAATACACTTGTCATTATGGTTTCATGACACTGTTTCGAATCGAAACAATAAGAAATTGAATCTTAGACACAAATTATTACTTCCTCTGCTTGTATAAGATAAGTAAAAAAAAAAATATTTATTTGACTTTAAATTCCGATATTAGATGTAATACTATGGATTTCGCATCGCCGTGTTATTATGCAGAATTTTGGATTCGTGTCAAGTTTTATCAAATACTTTCATCTCCTAACTCCTTAATTAATAGTTAGAGTAAATGTATTTACCTAGTAATTACTTTCAAGGAAACCCCTATACTGTCCATGTTAACGTTATACTTTTAAATTTAACATAACAACCTCGCCGTCGTGGCGAGGTTGTTATGTTAGGTTAGGTATGTTATGTTAGGTATGTGAAGTCTATTGGTCACGACAGTACCTAATATGTTAGGTTTGAGACTTAAGAGATGTTTCCATATTAAAACAATAAAAATAAAAACATCAATGGATATTTTCACATTCTCGGCGTGTATAATTTGCAAATGTACAATCGAAATCACGTGTTAAAAAATAAATAGATGTCGTGGTAGGCGATTTAATAGAGCAACAGATATAATTATTTAGAGTCGAATTGTAGATAAAATTACAAACCGGACGAGCACTCGTAGTTTTGCAAGATGAGATGATTAATCAATACTCGCCAAATGTTGAACCAAATATAATAGAAATGAACAAACAAAATTATTATTTTGTAGATAATTATCAATTTTTATATTTTTGTAACCAGAAAAGTATTTTCACTAAATCAGGGAGGGGGTTAAATATTGCAGACGACATTCCTTACTCAAATTTTGGAAAACTTGATACTTAACAACACATTGATGCTTAACGCTACGTATATTTTTTAAAAATAAATTGCCAATTTTGATCTGATAAATTATTATGTTAAAGATGAAGTAGTTAAGTAGAATTGGGTAGCGGATGATATTCTTCCCCTTCTACTACTTTAACGGGTTATAAAATGTTGTCCATACAAAAAATATATCAATTTACACAAAATTTGTTATGTAATTTTTGTTTTGTGTTGTAATTAATTAAAACATTATTCTGGCCAAATAGATTAATTATTTTTCATATATTTTCTTCATGTATATAATTACAAATAGGTACATCTAACATTTGAATATATTATTACTTAGTTGTGTAAATGGCAATTACAGTTAAAATTTGAAATATTGGCTCAGTAATACAATCGCTTTGTATAAACTCATTGATTCATATTAGGTACTATTATTTATTAAAGAAAAATAATTTTTTATTTCTATTAAACCTCAATCGTACAAATATGATTTTATTATAAGCTATTAGGTATATTTAAATGTTTATACTAAGCGCATTACAAAAGTTTACATTCAATCAGTAATTATTAAGCACATTTTGTGTTATTACATTTTTCTGTCAAGGTTAAGTAGTACCAATGATCATTTAATGAGTCATACCTATTAATTATTTTTAGAACAAAGATTACACTAATAACTTTTTTTTATGAAGAGTTATAAAAAAAAATGTATATTTCATACGTTGGTATCATATATCATAAAAGTACTTAATGTAGTTTTACTTTTTCTCACGAGGCATTAATATTTATGAAGCGTAGTAATTCTTTAATTTTAAATGTTATATTATGATCCTATGAACTATTATAGTGCTTAAAATTTAATACTGTCATCAATAATTTCCAGTTATATGAATAAAGAAATAGTTTTTACCAGAAAATCAATTTTTTAATGCAATCAAATGATGTGTCTGTATTGAAACTTAGTTGTGTTTAAAATTAACTTATTAACATTATTACTGATTTACAGTCCAGAAAAGAGTTATATTTAGTACAACTGTTATTAACTGAATAGTTAATAATAATGACAATATAGGTACCTAACCTAACCAGACTAAGCTATTCGTGGGATTTCAAGTTTGGAGATTTTGATAC